AGGACACATTAAATCTGATTGCTTTAAATTGAAAAATAAATTAAAGCAAAAGGAAAAATTTGTTGAAAAAACTACTGAATTCGCTGAAGTTAGTGTAGCAACTGATGAGATTGTTGGAAATATTTTTTCTGCTATTGATGACAGGACGAGGTCTAAAAATAAATGGATTTTAGATTCAGGTTGTTCTTATCACATGTGTCCCAATAGGAATTTGTTTTCAACATATGAATCTTGTAATGGTGGAATTATTTTGATGGGTAATAATGTCGCATGTGATGTTGTTGGTAGAGGCACAATCCGAATTAAAATGCATGATGATATTGTGAGGACGCTCACTAATGTTAGACATGTTCCTGATTTAAAAAGGAATCTCATCTCTTTAGGCACCCTAGAGGCCCTTGGGTGTAAATACACAGTTGAAGGTAGCGTTATGAAAGTTTCTAGAAGTGCTCTTATTGTTATGAAAGCTTGTAGGTCTGGTAGCTTGTATATTCTGTAGGGAACTACTGTCACAGGTTCGGTTGCAGTTTCGTCATCATCATTGTCTGATTCTGACATCACCAAATTATGGCATATGCGTTTGGGTCATATGAGCGAAAAAGGTTTGAGCATATTGAGCAAAAGAGGTCTACTTTGCGGATAGAGTACTGGGCCACTGGACTTTTGTGAACACTGCATTTTTGGAAAGTATAAAAGAGTCAGCTTCACTTCTCCGGCAGTTCACAAAACCAAAGGTACTCTTGACTATATTCATTCAGACCTTTGGGGTCCAGCTCATGTTCAGTCTAAGGGTGGTGCTAGGTATATGTTGACTTTCATTGATGATTATTCCAGGAAAGTTTGGGTTTATTTTCTGAAGCATAAAAATGATATTTTTCTAACCTTTAAACAATGGAAGGTTTTGATAGAGAAGCAAACAGGTAAACATATTAAGCGGCTTCTAACAGATAATGGCATGGAATTTTGTGAAGGTGACTTTGAAGAATTCTGCAAAAATGAAGGAATCGTTCGGCATCGCACTGTTAGGATGACGCCTCAGCAAAATGGTGTGGCCGAACGTATGAACATAACACTCTTGGAGAGAGCAAGGTGTATGATCTCAAATGTAGGGTTGACAAAGGACTTTTGGGCAGAGGCGATTAATATGGCCTGTTACGTTGTCAACCGCGCTCCTTCTGCAGCACTTAACTTTAAAACTCCAGAGGAAGTTTGATCAGGTACTCCTGCTGATTACTCTGATTTTAAAATTTTTGGGTGTCCAGCATTCATGCATGTAAATGAAGGAAAATTAGAGCCTCGGGCTAAAAAATGCATTTTCCTTGGGTATGCTTCTAGGGTGAAAGGATACAGATTATGGTGTTCTGATCCCAAATCCCCAAAATTTGTAATCAGTAGAGATATTACTTTTGATAAATTGTTTATGTTATCTTCCAAAGAGGATTCTACTAGTTGTACAAATGATAGTGCGCAGAAGCAGGTGGAGCTTGAGATTGGTAGTTCAGATTCCTTTAAGTCGAACTCTTCTACTTAAAGAATGCCAGTAGATGGTCCCGAGTCTACTGATGCAGTTGCTCCAGAGGAAGAGCAATATTCCATAGCCAAGGATAGACCGCGGAGAGATATTCGACCACCACAAAGATATGCCAATTTGGTTGCATATGCTTTGTATGTTGCAGAAGAGACAAGTGAAGTTGGTGAGCCTACTTCCTACTCAGATGCAGTTTCTTGTGATAATTCCGCTAAGTGGTTGATTGCGATGAATGAAAAAATTGAGTCTCCCCATCGGAATAGAACTTGGGATCTTGTGAAGCCGCCTTCGAGTAAGAAAATTGTCGGATGCAAATGGGATACCATTGCTGAGGGAAAGGTCCTTGTTCAGAAAATTCATACGAAGGACAATCCAGCTGATATGTTTACGAAGCCTCTTCCGATTTACAAGTTCAAGCAGTGCTTGGACTTGGTTGGTGTTCATTGTTGGTGATTGCTCGTTGGGGCTTTTAAAGAAGGTGGAGCAAGTTTTGTTGGAACATGCCAAGGTAGAGATTTGTTAGTTTGGCAAGTCCCATAGTCCCACATCGGGAAAATCAGACTTGTTGTCTCGTCTTGAAACTATAAATAAGGGTCTGGGCTTTGAAGTCAGAGGCACCACAAAAGGTACCATAAGTGGCACCACAAGAAAAACCTAAGTGTTTGCTTTGGTTTAAGTCCATACTTAGTTAAATAGTTTAGACTTATAGTTTGGTTTTTCTTGTTTAGTATTTTTGGGTGTTTTATGGTCTAGGAACATCTTCCTAAGGCATTTGTAATTGTCCCTCTTTTGCAGTAGTAATTTGCTCCTCTTTCGTCCGTGGATGTAGGTCAAAGTCAATTGACCGAACCACGTATATCTGGTGTTCTGATGTTCTTGTCTCGCTTTTATTCTTTCCGTTTTATTGTCTTGTTCGGTTGCCAAAATTACCTTGTGGTAAATTTCCTGGGGCTAGCTCTAACATTAACCTGTCGTCCACACTGGCACAAGTCGAGGAATGATCCACGAACCATGTCTTCATCGGTTCGAATCAGCTTGGTTTCACCCACGTGGCCCTGCTTACCTCCCACGGTCGGAAGTCGAAACTCTCACTCTCCAAGGCATTGGCATGTGAGAAGATGAGCGAGATGATGCTTTGCATACAAACCTTGTTGCATAGCACACAAACCTTGCCCCTCTAGCTCTTGACGAGGGGCAGTATAGACGCTGCTTCCCTTTGCCTTACCTTCCATTGTTGCTCTTTCTCTTCCTTCTCCAGCGTCGTTCAGCATCGACGCCACTCTGCATCTGCGTTCGTGAGCATTGATGGGAGGTGAGGCATCACCATCGGCGTCGTGCCACTCTGCATTTGTCAGTGGGATGCAAGCCCTTTGTCTCACCTCCCGCGGACATAGTTGCACAACAACACTAATATAGATGCCTTAATTGGAATGTTGAAATTACTTTGTTGTTTATCATTTTCATGTAATTCCTATACATGCTGTCACGTGTTACATCTTTGTGGCAACATTGATGTAGATGCCACATGTTATATCTTTGTTACTTATCATTTTCATGTCATTCATATAATTGAAATTACTTTGTTCCTTATCATTTTCGTGTTATTTTAAAGTCGACGGCGTTAAAATAAATATGATTAAATAATTCACATTAATAATTATAGGGATTTCAATATAAATTTTTTAAATCTAGAGATCAAAATGCTAAATAGGTTTGATTGAACCGCTGTTGCTTGTGTGACTCTTCTATAGATTTCTCAAAACAGCAGGAAGGCCAGTGATCAATTCTAAGAGAACAACCCCAAAAACTATAGTCATCACTTTTCTCGGTCAGCTTGCAACTGAAGAAGTACCTACAAACACAAAAATGCATTGGTATTCTCTCTGATTGCTTCAAATGCTTACAAAATGCAATTGCTAATGAAGTTGGACTATTCATGTGTCCACTTGTGTGGTAGGTTTCCAGAATTCATCACTATCCCTGATAACTGTTAAACACATGAAACAACTGGTACTTCATCCCATTATCCTTTGCGCAATGGCTATGTTATCATCTCGGGCTCGTCTCAGCTCTTCTCTCAGACTCAGTTCTTCTAGCCTCGGGAAAGGATATGCCTTTTGTTCTTAGGCTGGAGGGAAGATGGAGACTGGCACGAAGGTTTCGAGCTTGATATGAATAGGAGGAAGAGGATGAGAAGAAGAGACTCTGTGTTGGAAGAGTTGCCATGATCTCCAATATTGGCTTCTAATGTATATGTAGATCGTTCGAGGAAGTGGACGCTGTTTGAATCAGTAACGTGGAAGACGAATGTGTCAACGGCACTGATTTTGACTTCAGAATCGTTGAATGGTTCACCTTGGACACAGATATTAGGCAGAGTCAACATCATTTGCATTGCGAGGTACCAACACTGTGTGATATAAATGAAAAAAATAATCTCTTTTTGTCGTTGATGTAATCCACAAAAGAATAGTTAGTAGGTTTATACACTCTACTGATTCTATAAGATATGAACAGTCGGTTAGTGCCATCAAAAGAGCTTCCCGGCGAACTCCTTCATGTCTTCATCTTCACACGAAGGAGAAGCATACGTCGCGAGGCCTTTGAGATCAGAAAGGCTTCTTCCAAGCTGCAAAGCCGCCTTCATCTCAAATAACTCTCCGTTCTCCCTCTTCTGCACATCCGTCTCCCCCAAGTTGGATTCGATCTCCTCTTGCAACCGCCGGTAGTACCCAGCGCAGTTGCGGAACAGCTCGAACACCATCCCGACCTGTCCACCGTGCTCCAAGGTGTGCACTGCGGTGGCCAGCACGCCTCCGATGACACCGAGAAATGCCGGCATCGGACCGAGAGCCGGTGCGCCTATCAAACCGGAGCTTATTGCAGCCAGGCCGGCGAGAAGAGGCCCTGAGATGGCTAAGGTCTTGTTCATGTTGAGCACCAACTTCCCCAGTGTAATGTACTGCTGCTCATCTTTAGCTTTCAGTACTCTAAGGATCCCTCTCATCTCCTCTTCCAGTTCGTGGCTCCAACCATTGCTTCCTGCCTGCGGTGATTGCTTTGGTTGACTTTTAGGCCACCAACGAGTAGGCTCCACGATCTCGGGGAACTTCTCGAGCATCCCCGGGAGTAGGGGAAGCGGATAAGCCTTGTCGAGTGCGAGCACCTTCTCCATGACCTCATCGACGTCTCGCTGGGTCGGGGCTCGGAGGACGAGAGTCGTCTCGATCGATCTCCCGAGCTGCTTCCACAAGCGGGTCGCGTTTCTTTGCTCTTCTGCCAGCTGAGAAGGCTGGATCTTGCTTGTGATCAGCATCATCCCCGTCGCCGCGGTGAACAAGATCACGGACGACAGCTTGAAGGCCAGCAAGTGCGGTGCCGCTTCGCCCACCGGGATGGACGAGATGCCGGCCATCAGCGAGGCAGTGAGAGAGATGGCGTTGATGGAGTTGGTGAAGAGGTGGTTCCAGTCGTTCCTTTGAGCTCCGATGATGGCATGCATCTCCGCTCTATCGGCGACGGCGTCGAGAATCGCGTGAATCTTGGAGACCAAGTGCTCGTCCTCGGAAGCTGTCGTTGGCCGAGGAGGTTGAGTGAAGCTGGTGGCTGTGTCATCTTGTCTCAGGCTCAGCCCTCCCAAATTTAGCTTCGGTAGAGAGACGCCCTTGGTTCTCAGATTGGCAGGAACATGGAGACTGGCACGTAGTTTCCGGTGACCCGAAGGGGAGGAAGAGGATGATGAAAAGAAGAGGTTTTGGGCTTGTAGAGTTGCCATGATCACAGAGATCCTTGTCTTCTGTTGCCTCTGTCAGATCGCTTGCCGAAGAGGCGATGGAGTTAAGCTGCTATATCTATCTGAGTCTTGCAAGGTATTGTAATGAGATGAAGAGGAGGGGTGTTTTGTGGTGTGTATATATAGTTGTGGTGGGAGGTTGAATAGTTGACCAAGTAAGGCTATTTGAATCGGTAGAATGGTAGACGGCGTCAATGTCAGTTTGTTGGACTTTCAAATAGTTGAAATGGTAGACTTTGTCGCCATATCGGTAATGAATGATATAAGATTAGTAAGTTTAGAGGTCTAATTAGGTGGATTAATTATTCCACCCTGACAAGTTTTTCATGGGTGATTCAGTCCGAGAAATACAGATTATTAGTCGGGTATTGACTCGGTCAAGTCTTCATTTGGTCATTGGTTGAACCAATGAGTATACAGATTGAATCATATGTTATAAAATATAAAATATACTAATAATAACATATTTTTTATAATCTAGTGGGAGAAACATATTGTGACAGGGAAAAAATAATAAAAAAATATCATATTCTAAAAATGATTTAAATGTCCCTCAGAATTCAAATACATTTAATAATAAATTAAAAATGAGAGCATTCAGATCTTTTTAAGGCTCAAATGATGTAATTTATCAAGATTTCTTGTCTTTTGTGACTATGCTTGAAATTGAGATTAATGTAAAAAATAATAAAAAAATATTTAAATTTGAGATAGAAATTAATGGACAAATGAATTGAATTGTCAGTATGGCTGAGTCTACGTTGACCTCTCGTCCATATACCTATGGAGGCATACAATTCTAAGTAAAAGGACCTCAAAAGTCAATCCACGGTCAACATCTATGTTGGTTTAACCGTTCATACCAAAGTTTTGGAATCCCCATATAAATCCTGTTTATAAAGATTCTTTAAATTTAATGATAACTAATTAATAAGTTAATGAGTTATTCTTTTCCACTCGGACATGTCACCATTGCCTAAAAATATCTTTTTAAGTGCAAGTTAATGATACCTCCATAGTGATAGAACCAAAAATGAAATTGTAAAGACAAAAAAGCATACTTTTCCATTAGTTTAATACGATATCTATTTATATATATTTAAAGAGAGGATTTTTTTAACTGAGTAACGAGGTTTCCTCGTGCAGTTGGAGAAATCTCATTTGCTATGCAGTTGAGGAAATCTCATTTGTTATTCACATAGATCGAGTTTTTCTAACTCGAAATTACTAACATTAAACACTTAAGATCAAGTCAATGTTACACATCCAATGCCATTTTATGCTTGAGCATCTCTCACCATATTCAATGCTAGATCAAATATGATAAGTAGCTAACTCATTAAGTTGAGTCTAAACCACTCATAAAAAAAATCCTTAAAACTCTAAGTTAATGATAACATATCCATTAGATTTTTCTTTAAGAAGCCATATTTCAAGCTCAAATGCTAGCAGCTCTGGTAGGTTTTACCTGCTTGTATCAGAACAAAGTCAACATGGTGACAATATTGCAATCAATCATTGCAGATTAACCTTAAACTAAGGATGTGTAGAACTTCACAATAAGTTTTACATAATAACATTCATTGACAGTATACTATGCACTGCATCAGTAAGTTTTACATAACAAGCTGCAAACCTGTGTCATGAATCCAATAACACAACAAGACAACTTCTCATATGATCGATCGTATGCTTAAAAGAATAGGTTGTCATGCTCGCTGCTCCATGAAGGCCACAGGAAATGAATCACCATCAAGAAACCTCACCATTTCAGCTTAGCAGGGAAGTACTGCAACAGACATTGGGATGACTTGGTATGAAGAGATAAAAGGATAAGTTGAGGTCTAAGAAAGCTAGATGGACATGCAAACCTTTTCGATGAGTGAAAGGTAGTATGGCTTCACCTTCTCCACATGTATTCTCACCTTGCTCTTGCTATAAAGGTCATATTTGCTGCAACAGAGTGGAGATAATATAAGCATCTACTGCTGCAGAAACTCGATGAGAAATCAAGATGAATGAGAATTAGTACAATTGATTGCTTGAGGATGACAAATCTTAAATCTTACTTGAACACATGAAGCCACTTGAGATTCTCTTTATCCTCCTCGTTCATGAGGTACTGATAGGCACCATGCTTGTGCAGAGCTGAGAAAATAATTCAGAATTTGGCACGACATAAGCGAGCCAAAGAATCATGTTGTGAAACACCAAGTCAAAAGTTCATAAACTTACGGTAAAATGAATGGTAACGGATTATAAACAAACCGGCCAAGGGCAATGAAGTTTTGTTCTCCTTAGCAACCTGAAATTGATGAATTAATTAATTTAAGACCATAATACACTTTTCTTCTTAACTTCTACTTGAATTATGTGATCTATAAAAGAAGGGCAAGTATTCTCAAGAACATACCAAGTACATAAAATCATCATGCCCCCATGACATCAGTACATTGTCAAGTCCACACCCCTCTGAATAAACTCCGAGCTTGGTATTGTATTTAGGATTGAGGTGATCAGGGTTTTCCGCAAAATACTGTTGGAGTCAGTATAATTTTCAGAAAAGAAGAGTTGAATAGCTTCTTTTAGCCAATCAAAGAAAAATACTTGAGTAGCTTAGTTTAGGCCAATTCCTTGTGGTGAACATTGCATTCATCGAAAGCACATCCAACAGGAAATGTGTCACCTGAAAGATGTATTGTTATTTGTATTCATAATCATATAAGTAATTTTGAGTAGATAAGGTTTATGATGCATACCAACAACAGCCCATTGTGGAAGTTGCCCAAAGCTAGGATGGAGAAGCACCTTCCCAAGATCTGATCACCATTGAGACATACCTTTTATCAGATCCTGCTCTTATTCCGGAATTGTATCTTATCAAGGAAATGCACATAAGCAATAATATTTCAAAGGCATATACTCATCAAGGGAGCCAAATGGGGAAGTGGCAAGCAATAATTTGACACAAGCAGTAGAAAGATTGTAACTTCATGAGTTTAGCTAACCATGAATTAAGCCTGTCAAGTGAAGCCAATCTTCTTCAGGGTAGTCCTTCCTAATCGCTTCAGCAGTCTGCAACAAGTGCTCAATCTGGGGTTCATCAAGATCGGGATCGCTCTCGTCGACGAACTCATTGAGCAATTCAATGCACTCCCAAATGCTCATCTCCACCCTATCCAACTTTCCATACTCCTCTCTCAGTCTCTTCACCTAAACAACAAAAACACAGCTCGATCAGTACCAAGGTCGACACTTGAAAGCAATTGTTATAACCAAACAACAGCACCTAGACATACAAAATCACAGGTTTGGTGAATATGATTCATTCGATAGAACTCTTCCACTGTCTTCTGCCTCTCAGATTCTGCATTGTAATCTCTGCAAACGATCAAATACTATTCAGCATTCTAGTGATTTATAATCCTTGCAAACAGTACAATTCCAAATGTATTCACTATTCATCCTCCATGTGCAAGAGCCAATAGAACCCAAGGACCTGGAAATCTACAGCAAAGATTCTACATTCTGCACCAAAAAGATGTTCGTTTCTCTAGATTTGGTAAGATTGCACCTGAAAGTATGACCAAATGAATTGGCATCGGGAACCACAAATCCTCCATCCATCAACAACTCCTTTGGGTCGGATTGAGTCCTCTTGACTTCTCCTGTCACTGCTGCCACCAAAGGAACAGAGCACAACATAAATCAACAAGACTATCCAACACCAGCATACCACAATGGATGAAAACCCTAGCGAGCCAATCCATCAGCAGAAGAACATACCAGGTCGAGGCTGCTCAACGACGAGAGTCATCTTTCCAGGAACGCGACACACGATATGCAAAGAACTCCAACAGCAAGGGTTGTATTCTGGCCAGGCTTCGCCGGCTGTTGGAACGTTGCGAGGCCTGGGTTAGAAAAGAGGGATACTTATAGGAAGGAGGGATGGAGGGAAAAGGCTGTCTGTATTTGGATTGGGTGATTAACTCGACGCCCGCGGCCGCGGCGGAAGGATAGCCGCAAGGAAGTGCGTGAACGAGTCAGCGATGGCGAGGGAAGTGTGTATGGTTCGACAACCACAGCAACATTTGAAAGGACGTGGTTGGATTCATTGGAGAACAGGCACCGAGTTAACGGGAGGCGGTCGGAGATGGAGATTGGACGACAACACAGAGGAAGATGATGCACGTCTGTCACATATTACTGCATCGAAGATTACAGGAGGAGGTAGTTATACGTTTTTAATTATAAAAATAAAATATTTTCTTATATTTATCATAACGTCGTTAATCTTGTCAACGAAAGATACAACCCGTAACAGCAAATACAAAAATAACACAAAAACGATAAGCAAAAGATAATTTCAATATTACAGATGATGCATCTACGTAAATACCACTATGCAATTACGTTGGCCAAGGAAGAGGATACAAAAGATGTCATAGTTAAGCTTGTTGTGAATGGTGTGGGTAGCGATCATCGTGATCGGGTTGCTCATCATCCAAATCGACATAGGTCATGGAGCGATTCATCGATCGTATCTCTACTAGTTTGAACCGACCTGGTTTCGCCCATGTAGCCCTCCATACCTCACACAATCAGAAGTTAAAGCTCTTGCTCTCTAGGTTGTCGACACGCGAGAAGACAAGCGGGGCGGAGCTTTGCAGGTTGTAGCACAGGATCAGCATCGGCTTCACTGTATTGCATAGCATCAGTCTATTCCCGAAAGCCTCCTTCATGACCCTTTCCATGGCCTCCATCATCGTCGTGGTCTCTTCGCCACCCCCGCCTTAGAATACTCAAGACAAGAACCCATGAGATGACGTGGAGGAGCACAAAGAAGAAGTAGACGTCTTCAAAAGAGGCACTTATCATGATCAATGAGGAAGCGATAGGTGTCGTCAACACGGAAGAGCAGGTGGGTACCATCATGAGTGGTGAAAAGCATGACGACAAAGACACCCCCAATGTCGATGCCCACAACAACGTCAAAGTAGTCGAAGACACTTGTGTCAAGGTTACCGGACTTGGATCTAAGGGCCTTTCTCGGGAGTATCCTTCGCATCACGCCACCACTGCTTTTGTCAATACAAAGCATGCAAACCTTACCCCTCTAGCTCCTAACGGGGAGCGACATAGATGCCATATCCTTTTGCCTCACTTATCGTCATCGTTCTCCCTCATCTTCCTCTTTCGACGCCACTCTATATCTACATCGACAGCATGTCGCTCTGCATCCGTCGACGGGACGCAAGGCGTTTGCCTCATCTCCCATCAACATAGTTACAAAGCGACGCCGATGCAGATGCCTCACTTTGAACATTGAAATTATCTTTTTGTCCATTACATTTGTATCATTCCTGCACCGCGTTAGAGTAAATATGATTAAATATTTCACTTTCATAATTATAAAGATTCTAATATAAATTTTTGAAATCTAGGGATCAGAATACTTAAAAAAGGTATAATCTTATAACATGTAATTAGCTGAAAATCTGATCCTTTAGTTCAGTAAGGAGGTGTGCAGTTTTGTTGAATGCTCATCTAAAAAACTTTCCAATAGCTGTTATTCATCTAAAAACTAGCATCATTGACCATAAGAACGGTCAAGTGAAGCACTAAAGTTTTGGACTGGAAGCGAACTGTATTGGTGAGCTCTGGAAATGTTGTGGTTTTCTGCGGTGTCGATGTATTCTGCATCAGAAACGTACTCCATCCCTGTGAGGTTGTTTATGTAGCTGGTGTTCACAGCATATCCACAATCAATGTTTATGAAACCTGCAATTAACGAGAGACGACAGCTTCAACTAAGCTCTATACGCATGAAACAGAGGATGTATGTACTACTAGTACCTGGATGGCAGTGGGATAAGATTGCTGTCCACCACACATACCAAAGGAGAAAGAACAGCATCATGTCCATCATCTTCCCCAGAAAGTATTCCAGCTCCTGAGATCAGACCGCAGCATGTACATTCTTGTTTTTGGTCGTCTATCAAAGACAACGTTTGTCTGGTCTACCAAGTTCTCTCTGAATTAGTGACATTTTTCAAGAACAAGCCACATCATGCCAGCTCATTGATCTCCTGTTACAGGAACGACAATTGCAATTAGACCACAGGATAATGAATGCAACTGGTTACATGTACAATAATTATTTCCTAAAGATGTGAAATCCATGGAGAGATGAATAGTAAGACCCTCCAGCAATGTGCTTGAGACTCCAAGATGTGCTTCTGGCAAAGTCAAATGCTTAACAAGTTTCTTTTCGTGAAAGAATAATAAGTAGGTTCAACACAGCCAAGAACCAACAAACATTCAATACATCCACCACATGATTCATTCACATTGAGTTGCCTGGTACAGAACTGGATGTTAACAGCAGGAAAAACAAAAATTACAATCCCAGAAGCTACCTGCAGTCCACCAAAGATAGAACCACACAAGAAAAAGCCCGAGGACTACGGCTGCAAGAGATTCAAACGGTGATTGAATATATGCTATTGTGATTTATATCCATACACAAGGAGGACTGGATACACAGATGATGACCACATTGGTCCTGTGTTTCAATGTTGAATTACTTGTAAACTGAGATCTTCGTTGGCAGAAGTCCCGACTCAGCTCTGCTAGGATATACAATGCCATGTTTGTCCAGAAGATCATTTATTGGCTAGATGTAAGGCTTGATCATCTGAACATGCAGACTATGGACTGAAAAGAATGATGGAAGAAAAGCAAATTGGCAAAAAAATCTGAATCCTTATACATTCACATGAAGACAGAAAATTGACTTTTCTCAGTGACTTTTACCTAGAATAACTAACAAATGCAGCTACAACCACCAGTTCAATTAAAGGAACTCACTGCACCAATAGCACTGCTCCGGTTGGAAGTTATGTGACCGCCATCCGATCTCTCAATGCATGTCACGCCACTGAAAAAGTACATCTCTTTGGTTCCACTTCCTTCTCGGTGCCATGTGATTGAGAAGTGTCACTGGATATGTAGCCAAGCAAAGCTGCACTTGGGGACACAACAAATTCATTTTGATGATGGTCAGTACTCATTCCAGAAGAAGAAAATTCAACTGAACTGCGATCTTCATAATGGTTAACGGTGGTTCCTGCAGAGGACAACCCAATTGCATCACAATTGTCTATATCAAATTCAGATGCGTATTGTATCTGGGTCCTTCCAGAAGATCGAGAAGAAACCTCCAGTGCCATGCACTCCTTCAACTGGATCACCACTTCACTCATGGTTGGCCTCTCAATTGAGGTAGGCAGAACACACCTCAATGCGATTTCTGCAGCCTTCCAAACTGATCTAGTGCCATTCTCCCTTTGCATCCTGTCATCAGTCACAGTATCTATGTCTCCCCTTGCAAGTATTGGAGAAACCCAGTGAACTAATATTCCCCTGTCTGGATTTCTCAATATAGCAGGAAGGCCGGTGATCAATTCTAAGAGAACAACCCCAAAACTATAGACATCACTTTTCTCAGTCAGCTTGCAACTGAAGAAGTACCTACAAAAACAAAAATACATTGAGATTCTTTCTGATTGCTTAAAATGCTTATAAAATGGAATTACTAAGGAAATTGGACTATTCATGTGTCCACTTGTGTGGTAGGTTTCCAGAATTCATCACTATCCTTGATAACTGTAAAAGACATGAAACAACTAGTACTTCATCCCACTACTACAATATTGTTCCTGTAAATTAAGAATCCAGTTTACACAATTCAAGCTGCTCAGACTTGTCAAGTGAAATAGAATCATACTCTGGATCAAGGTATCCCATAGTGCCAACAACAGCAGTAGATACATGAGTTTGGTCATTTTGGAAAATCCTGGAAACCCCAAAGTCTGCTATTTTGGCCTCTCCTTTGTGGTTTAGGAGGATGTTGGTAGGCTTCACATCTCTATGGATTATAGGAGGCTTGCATCCACTATGAAGATACTCCAAGCCTGTAAAAAAAAAGTTCCAAAATCAATAAGATAAAGAAAAATCGGCAATATGAAGTGAATACTCCATATGAGTGCATCTAAAACAAACCTTGGGCAGCTTCAATTGCAATTTGGAGCCTCTCGATCCATTGTAAAATTCTAGAGAAACTAGTCTTACCTATAAGAAATATTGAAAAGAGGTTGATGCATGAGAAAGATAACATTCATTTGAGGTGGTCAAGGTTTGCAATCAACCAACTCAAATCATCAAAAGCTGTCCTCAGTGCTTAAACAAGCAGCAAATTAGATAACTGAATAGTTGTGCTTCACAAGTTGAAAGTGGTTGCTAAAGTAACATTTGGATTATTAATATTTCAAGTTACCTCGAAGATGCTGCTCAAGACTTCCTTGAGCCATATATTCGTACACAAGTGCTAGAAAATTCTCATCCTCACAGTATCCAACCAAAGACATCAGATTCTTATGATGTATCTTTGTCAAGAGCTCAGCCTGAAAACCACGATCAATTTACATTGTTATATAGGATTATAATTTTATATTCCAGAAAGCCTATCAGTTACTACCCATAATAATTGCATGTATTTTACAGACTCAGTGATCAATCTGTAGAATTTTCAGGGGAAAGAAGTTAACCTCCGCTTGAAATTCATTTATCCCTTGTGATGATGATTGAGAATTCACCTTGACAGCAACTTGAGTTCCATCTTGTAACTCACCAAGGTAAACTGTCCCAAATCCCCCTTTACCAATGGTGTGCTGGAAATTTTTGGTTATATAAACAATATCTTCGTGCGTAAATTCTTGATTTTTCAATTGAAATTGCTTATTTTTATCTTTTCGATGTCCTGAAAAGCCATCTTCTTTCTGTGGCTTCAAACAACCTGAGGTCATAACAACTAAGATAAATTGGAGAATGCAATTAATAAATTCAACTTGATTAGTGATATTTTTAGCAATGACTCTTATTAGTGTTTTATGGTTGAGAATGCATAGTGCAAATTGGACATGACAAAAATTAAATGGAAAAAAAAAAGCTTGTATTGCCTGTGTAGCAAAACAAATGCAGGATACAAAACATGCCACAAATTGGAAAAAGCATCGCAAACAAGTTTGAGTCAATTATAATCTCTGTTAAGAATAGAAAGTTCTTGGAGCTTGGACTTGAAAGTTATATCTGACTGTGCTAGAATTGATCTTATGCATGTGAACTGTTAATTAGCATGCATGCCATGGTTGCATAACCTATTGTCACCTACCTGCTTGCTTTGCCCTCTTTACTTTCCATATACATGCTGCCACCATTAGAAGAAATACTGCTGCAATCGCTACTATAACTATGATGATGGCAATTGACATCTTCCGCTGCTTACATGAATTGCTTCCATAACAAAGATCAGGATTGCCCTCATATCTAGCATTACGAGAATTGCAAACTTAAAATGAAATTTGGAAAAGAAAATGTTGAGCTTGGCATGTAATTAATAATGAATATCAACATAAACATACCAACATTTTAGTAGAGTGCAGACTATGAGGACTAACTTTTTCCACCTTAATAGGCTTCACAGATTTAATCTTTGAGCTAGATCATTGCATGTCAAAGCACAAAAGAAATCCAAATGTCTATAAGCAGAAGCAAACATGAGCTCCAATAGCTCATCCCATGAACGGTTCACTGAAAAGTGGATCTTTTGTTGCAGAACAATGTACTAAGCCCAGCAGTGTACATAGAAAGTCCACAAAGTAGGATGTGATGGGCCCTCCTATGATAACTGATTCTAAAGCACTGTTCAATTGGCAATAGTTTTCAGTATTCGAGCAGATTTTACAATCTAGTCATGAGCCACAGTAGGAGAAAGTAAGAGGAGTATAAGCACACAAACCTAGTTATGTTTGGAAAGGCCAGGTTGTGGTTGCTAGACACATACCTTCCTTATTTACATCTTTAGTTTAAACCTTATCCAAGATGCCAGGACTTACAGAGAACCTCTTGCATAGGGATTACTCATACACAGACTAAAAGTTGTGCCAGACTAAACTTTACCAATGTTAGACTAGAAATGCCCTCTTACATTGCAAACTTGAGATGTACCCTCTCAAAATTATGACAAAGAATCTCTTAAAAGTTGATGGTGAATGTGTTCATCAATGTAACATCTAAGAATAAGTTCAAGGTTCCAGAAAAGATAACAAACCTTAATGTAAGAGAATGGTTTTCTGATCTTTTTTGAAGAAGAGTAGGAATCGACCCTTGCAATTGGTTGTTCGACAAGTCCCTTGTTAAAACAAAACAGTGTTGCACCATAAGATGATTAGATTATCAGATTATTAGCATTTTAAAGCCAGTTTTCGCCACTTACAGTAATCGTAGAAAAGGTAGTTCTCCGAGAGCATCAGGTATAGCTCCTGACAAACTATTGCCTGATAAGTTCCTGCAAAAGAAGTTCAGACATCATGATATTTGTCTACATGGCTTATGCTAGCTGCAGCTTGACTTTTCATACTGTTACAGCATCAGGAAAGAAGTTCAAAATTTTACAGTGAGATGCAACCAGATAATACAATCAGCCTATGCCTGAGAAATTATATCAGCTCTTAATTTCAATGACATGATAGTTCTGGTCATGCTTTGGAGGCCAAAAGAAAACCTCCACTCCATTAGAGTAATAAATAGCAAACGTAAATTTCACATATTTACCTTGTTAGAGGATAGAGACATTATTTAATGTAAATAAAGGATAAGCATGTCACATAACCTAGAGCATAGAATATTTTCTTCCAATCAGGCAGTTCTAAGAAAAGATGCACATTATAAGGCTTTAAATCTGGTTCCCAGGACATTTATTTTTTGTCTAAAGAATTAGTGGCATCTAAAGGCTAAATTCATTGCTTAAAGCTCTAATTTGACAATTTTACAAGGGCACATGAACAAAGTTGAAATTTGTTCAGCCAAATTATGAGATTGTCAATTAAGTTCTAAGTACTACAGTGTAATAACAACTTAAAGCACCTTGTATGGAGTTTGTAAATTGCTTTAACAATTTTTTATGCATGTCAATAGGTGAGTAACTAACTCCACTAGTGATGTTTGTAAGAGAGAGGCACATGCAATATATGTTTCTTGAAGATAAAAGAAAATAAATATTATTAAAGATCAATCTTTAGAAATTAAGTAGTACACAAAGCAGTGACATCCATAGAAGTTCCTTTGCCCAGTAATGGCAAAGGAAGCATCAATAAGATCCAATATCAGACTACTAAGCATGAAACAACAAATTGTCAATGGTAAAATCATAAACTTAATGATAGGCTCATAGCAGAAAGACCATCTTTGAGCAAAGACATATTGTTCTGTTTTTTCCATTGCAACATTATCTACTTACAAGTGTTCCAGAGCACCAAGCTTAGCAAAAGAGGCAGCAATTTCCCCAAGCAATCCACCATCAGCTAGGTTTCTGCAGAACATTCAGTGCGGGTATCGTATACATAAGTAATACTTTGGAGTTTCTCATATATGTGATAACTACCATCCATGGCACATACAGATATGTGAGTCTTTGTGACATGGAGCCACTGGAATTACAACGCAGTCCTTCCCATGAGTAAATTCTTGGACTACAGGGATCACCTATCCAATTTCTCTTTATCTGGTATGCTGCCTTCACTCCCATGATTGCATCAACTGATCCCACAAGGAAAAAAAAAAAGTTGTATGATGACGAGTGCACTCTCAATCTGAATGCAAAAACTAATGAGCTTTAGCAGGAACAACAAATACATTCATAAAACAAAAAGCCCAATTTTCACTAACAATTTTTCTTACTATGGTGCCACAACTAATTCATTTATGACCCACTCAGCTTCATTAGGATTTGATGTTAACAAACAGGCATTACCAGAAACGTTAGCAAGGATATGGCGGTCTTAAGACTTTAAGGATATCATTCTTCACAGAATTCAATGATTGGAAAGATTTTATCTAAGCTAACCCCAATAGTTAGAACTATTGATTTGCTATTGTTTAAGAAGAATCACCCCAGTTGCTTGTTCAGTACAGGCATCATGTCCTATATTTATCATGTGCCAACTAATTACTATTACGAAAAGAAAAGGTTTAGATGACTGCAAAAGAAGGTAAGATTTGATTTCAAAGTCCACACGCATCCAACTCTTACGCCACACCGTCAATGATCTGCTGCTGCATATAGAGACTTAGCTTTGACCTGTCATCCTATGCGAAACTGGATTTACAGAGGTTGATGAGCATTCTGTTCATTTCTTTGCTGACTTATATACTACTGTGAACTCCAAATCAGTTTAAAGGTAGGCAACACAAACTAACATTTTGAAGGTCATAGCTCATACATGTTCTTCACATCTTAGGATGGCATATTTGGGCACCCTCACTAAAATAGTCCATGCCAAATAAATTATTTTTGCATCTCAAGAGCTATGTGATCTTTGTTATTCAAAGTAGGAGGCCAATATATCTTCTTGAACAAAAGTAACCTTGTATTCTGTACGTTATAATATGATAAACCAGCCACCAAACATGAGCATAAGAAAGAAATTTATCAAAATGATATAGGCAGCGACATACCATCTCCATTATCTGTAGACAACTCTAAGAGGCTCCTAACTTTGAAGACTTCTAGTGCATTCAGAATCGGAGGATGGGTGGAATTGGCTGCCTTCAAGATATTAATATTGTTGGAAACTGAATCCAAAGGTTCTGTAGTGAATACATGATCTGTCTGCAAGTAACGAGGGCTGAATGCTTTACGCCACAATTTTCCATTCAAATATATGTCAAATATCCGTGACTCATTGCTCAAAAGCAATTCGATCTCTGCAAAGTGTAGAACAATGTGTTGTTGGACAGTTGGAGTTTCCATCGGCAGCTCCCAGTAGTAATTGATGTCGGAGCCATCAGATGGAGTGACATAAGTCCTCATGATGGTTGATGAAACTTTAAAGTCATCGTCTGACGAAGTACTGATATTTAAGGAGGTATTCATTGGAACAAATGAATTTGGAGGTAAGTTCTTGTCAGCAGTCCACATGCGATCGTAGACATCGTATGGGTACCTGATGGATCATAATCTTGTCACTTTGTAATTGTACATTTATCATGTACCTATGAAATTATTGTTATTTTTTATATTTTGTAACTTTTTTTTAATTTGAAGTTTTGAGCTAACTCAATTTTTTCTGAATCAATTAACTAATATTGATAAATTTTCTTTCTTTCGTTAAGCTTGTAGCTTAATATGTTATACCTGAATATACTTAAGTGTTAGACCTGTGACTATGATTTCTTCAGCAAGTGAAAAAGCAAACCTACCACTTACCTGGTCGATCGATTGCTGGTTGACCCCAGGTCATATCGTTGAAGGTTGAGAAAATAATTTGATTCATTCAGGGCACTGTACAGTCCAGTGAGAGGCCTTAGCTCCAGTGATGATATGAATGGTGTTCCATCTCCAGTGTTGACAAGACAAACTGATATGAAATCAGCTGAGGCAACAATCATAGTCTCTGTCCCATACACAAATGCTGGGTTCGAGAATTTGAAGGAATCCCAGTGATTAACCCCAATATATATGTCAAAGCGTGGTATGTGATTTCGGCCATCGTAGTTTCCATACAAGAAACCAGCTCTAATGAGATAATTGTTGCCCCTTTGTACAGGTTTTAGAGTATAGCAGTTTCTACTGCCATCAGGAAAGCTCCTCAGGTGTACGTTTTGAGGTGCTAGTGAACTGGTCTGATAAGCACTGGAGATAGTGTGAATCTCTCCAGTATCGACATATCTTGCATCGGAGGCGTACTCTATCCCTGTGAGATTATTGTAGCTGGTATTTGCAGCAAGTCCACAGTCAATGCTGATGAAACCTGCAACCAGGGTTTGTCATTGTGTTATTGCTGCAACACTGAAAAACAACGCAGAGACAGCATTTGTATCTTCTATCTCCATAAAAAAGAGGGATTATGTTTACATGCATCTGTTCCTAGTAACAGAGCAGCACTTATCAGACAAAAAAGATTGGAGAGCAGAAAAACAAGTGAACCAAAGGAGAGAAGAATTTGGTCAAAGGGATAAAGGTCTCAGAGAATCACTACCCACATCTGGCCATACATCTTTCCACCTTATTGAAGATTAAAGATTCCCCAATTACTCCTCTAGATAATTCATAAAGGTAAAAACAATTCCACTGAATCCAAAATTATAAGAGGTATGTTTGTTAATCCAAGATGTTTAAAAAATCCTCCTTGGAGCAAGGTTCGTTGGATATATCAAGACCTTAAGCTGGTTAGTGCCAAATATGAGAAGCAGATAGAGAAGATAAGATACTGTTGATAGCCTCTTTATATTAATTGCATAAAGTGCAACCTTCAATCTAAAGCCAAATTTCTGCTAGAACATCCTCAGTGTTAGACAAGGCCAGAGCATCAGCTAGCCAAACTAAAGAAGCAGTCAAAAAATTTCACTCGATCCATGCCACAAGGTTGCTGTAAACGAGAACTTGAAAGTTCCAGCTTCAAAGATGCTCAAGTATCCTCAAAAGAAAGGACTTCTCCTTTCATGGAACTATCCATGAAGGCCAAGAACTTTCATTAAAATATAAGCCTTTAAAAATATCTGAACTATCCTCCAAAACTTACTAGAAAATGTTTCAAAAGGACTCTTGAAGCTGTCATACCTGGTTGGCCTTGAACGAAGATTGCTGCTGCAGAGATACACCAGAAATAGAAAATTATTGCCATTGCCTTGGCTTATTCACAGACTTCTCATCAGAGGAAACCTTAGATGGCAATACGTTCTTTGCTGCATTGCATTAGTCGTCTCTTAAAGTGCATTTGTTTTCAAGAAGCAAGAGGGCAGATCAAGATTGACTTTGACAGGAAAATCTTCCCCCTAAATAGTGCATGTTAAGATTAATTAGAAGTTGGCCTATTTGTCTTGTTTGAAGTCAAAGATCACCAGCTTGTTTACTTTTCGATGTTAAGCTTTCTCAAGGAGGTATCAATTTCTGATGGTACAACGAACAAGGATAAGTGAAGGAGACTCTTCTTTGAAACTATAACCAGAAGGAACAAATGTGTGATTGGACACAATTTCGGGTCATATGAGATATCAGATAATTCAATAGTTATTAGCAGAAAATTACATGGCAGCCTTCCAAACAAAGATATAACTTGGACAAGGTATGGCAACGAAGCAGAAGATATGACCAACTTAGTCTAGAAGTACTTTTATATTATGTGATACAAAGTCAACAAAGGCAAACATTTTTCATCTAAATTTATTAATTTCACACTAATCTCCCATAGTTGACTTTGTGATTTGTCCTTTGCAAAGTTCATTAATTATTTTTCGGCCTGCAAATTGTTTTTATGAAGACATACCCACTTCTTCTACATCAAGTCTTCCTTTATCTATGTAGTGTAGAAGATAATTTTTAGACACACTGCTAAAAACTGTATCATTATCCTTCACATGCATAGCATAGGATATAGCATTGACACACTGATACCCTCTTTTATTAGATGGGTCATTCTAAAAGTTGGCACAAAGTCAAACGTCAAAATAATGACACCCTCTTCTTTGCACTTGGATGATCAGAAAAGTTGGCACAAGTCAAACGTAAAACTATCGACAGGGACTTGAAGTGAAATTAACTGAAGGATTTACATCCATAATCATAGGGGGCGAAGATGAAGGCTTAGAAACGTCCACTTGTGGTCCAGAGGCCGATATAATAACTCAACAACCAATAGCGACATGAATTGAAATCAAACCACTCATTAACCGATTGGTCATGAATTTGATCGTTTCTAAAAGAAAAGCGCAGAATGTAACAAATATTGCTGGTAATTTCTTAGGGGGAAATTTTTTGACGTCTCTTGATGTCATTACATGAGCATTCAATGATTCCAGAAGTTGCAGTTGTGTCACAAGAAGAAAAATCTTATCTTTCTTTAGGGTTCTCACATTTGCGATAGACTGCTCTGAATTGTTCCACGGCACAAGCACGACGTTGCCGTGGCCGCCAACCACGGCGGGAGAGGACGGCAGCAGGCCGCGACCGCCTTCCGCGGACTTCACCAGATGTCCGGTCGGAGGATGGACGGCGGGTGGGGGTACGCGCGGAAGAAGACGATAGCGAAAGAGATGGACCTGTTCTCCGGGTCGGGCTTTGTTTCTGGATCGGATTTAAACCCGTTAACTTTTGTGGGTTTGGCTAGATGACAATCCATGACCCATTAATATACGTCCATGAACCGGACCCGATGGGTGCCCAATAACGGAATCCGAATCCTTTGAGGATCCATGAACCACTGATACCAAACCGTGAATCCGTAACGGGACGGATGCTTACCAGCCACTAACGGGTCTGAATCCGTTACTGTTAATTATTTTAATTACTCATTTGGTATTTGGGATAGCATTTATATCGCTCTTAACGAGACAAAGATGGAGAAACTAAACGGGGAAGGAGGCATTTTATTTTTATATTACTCGCATATATATATATATATATATATATATATATATATATATATATATATATATATATAGAGAGAGAGAGAGAGAGAGAGAGAGAGAGAAAATGTGATGGGAGGCTTATTAATATTTGGACTGAGATGTTAAATCCCAAACATTTATCACCTTATTAGACTTTAAATCTTAATTGAATCAATCATAATTCAATTAAAAATCATATGGTTCAATTGAATCAAATAAAATATTTTTATTCAGACTGTTTGATTTTATTTTTATTGGTCTTCCTATTTTCTACATCGACAGGTTCCTTCAATGATTTATAACGATAAAATGCGAACAATGACAGTGATTTTGATATTCTTCTCTCTTCTCCTCGTCTTCTTTTCATCACATGCTCTCCTCCCTCTCTTCTCGTCTTGGTTTTTTCCTTCATCGCAATACCCTCGATTTCTCATTGCATTCGTCGTTGCCTAATTCATGGCCTCATCTCATCCTCTCTCCCCTGCATCTTTCCTCGTGCATTATGATAATTTTGATTTTATTTATATCTGAATATATTTTATTTTTTATTATGTATAAATTTTAGTATTATTAATTAAGTCTGGTAGTAGTTTTATTTTTAAAAAATTAAAAAAATATAATTCTTTTATAGAAAAACGAAGATGCCACAGGTTTCCGGCTCGTCTAAATAGGAAATGAGAAGATGAGTATATCATGCAATGCGGAACTGTCAGTGGAGATGTTGGGCAACACCAAACTTTCAAGAAACGAAGGGGAGAAGAACGATCAAATTCCTTCAAGAAGAGAGTGTTATTCTTGAAGGGGAGAAGAGCTGTCAAGATCGTTCAAGAATTGAGTGTCTTAGAATGAAACCAAATGTTTCCACTTAGATGAACCTACCATTATCATCCTTTCCTCAGCTGTCATACCCACTCTATGACGAACGTTTTCTATTGACAAACCTACATCCAACCTTTACTTTCCCCTGCACTCCTCCCCCCCATGGGATATTCTCTTCTTTCAGGTCCCCCAATACTACTTAAGAGGAGTTCCATCACTATTTCTTGCAAGGAACATGAACGCCGGAGTCATGCCTAACAAGATAAAGCCAAACAGGCGTGGCTCTTATGCTCCATGCTTCTATATATATGTTTCAGAAGTTGTAGTTGTACTGGCAAATGATACTGTAACATAGGAATAGTGTGCGATAGTAACATATGGTCCAGCTGCTTGTGGTTGAAGGCTGCTGCCGGGGCTACTGGTGCGTACTATAGCTTTATTGTATTGGGGGTCCATCAAGTGTCCTACTGCTCATTTGCCTTGGGTGTCAAGCAACCTGTAGATTCACCTCCTCACCCGTCTTCTCTGCAAAGTGCACAACTTCTTCCTTCATGACGGAATAGATCATCATCATATCAGAAGCACATCTCCAATATCCATGTGAGCCTCTTCAGTTCTTTCATCTCTTCTAGTGTTCCATAATTATCGGGGGAAGGAAAATAACATGTTTCATCATTTCCTGCGAATATATGTTCGGTAATGGAGTCGGTATACACCTGCATGTCAATATTAGTTCTTGATGGAGTCGGTGGTCTTTTCTCGGGGGGACAGATCAGAATTGTCTTTTCCTTTCTGCATCACTAAATTCCATGTACTATGGTTAATGCTTTTATTTTGTTTATTAGTATTCAGGTTGGGTTCTTAGGGATGTGCAGTAACAGCTGTG